CAGTACCTAAATTTGTAATACAAAGTATAGTAAGTAAAAATAAAACAACAAAATTCAAGGATTTTTTAATTAAAAAAAAATCAAAAAATTGATTTTAACCACCAAAACTTTTGAAACATTTATTTTACCACCAAAACTTATGAAACTTTTATTTTACCACAAAAAAAGTCTAAAAATTGTTGTATACCACCTATCGTCAAGAAAATCGTTAAATCTAACTATTTAATTAACGGTTTAAAAAAAATCTTCAATTTTCATGCACAAAACATGTTCTTCATAGATTTAGAGGAGCATTTGACTCTACGGATCTAATTTGAGGTCAGAATTGACACAAAATGATAGAAAAAATGCCAACGATTTGCGTGTTTAAATACGTAAAATAGGGCATTTTCAACTATTTTTTGTCAATTATGACCTCAAAGTGGAGCCAAAGGACCAAAATCCCCCCCAAAATCACTAAAAATCACGTGTTTGGCATGAAAATCGAAGAATTAAAAATATTCAATTAGGTTTTTAACAATATGTGGTAAAAATAATTTTAAATTTTTATTTGGTGGTAAAATAAGAGTTTTAGTGGTAAAATACAATTTTTTTGACTTTTTTTTATTTTTTTTATGGTAAAAGTCAAAAAAGCCAAAATTAATGTTTTATTTTATTTTATTTTTTTAGGAAAATTTGCAAATTGTAGCCATTTAAAGTTTCTATTTTGCAAATTGCAGCCATTTAAATTTTTTTTGCAAATTGCAGCCCAAAAGTTCGTATAAATTGTAAATTGCAGCCCAATTCAACTTCTACATAGATTTACATGTCGAAAAATCTTCGATTAAGGTTTTAGGGGCCATTTTAACCCTTAAGAGTCCGAATAGAGCTCGAAATTAGCAAAAAAAAAAAAAAAAACATAAATGTCTCGTTTTGCGTTACAAAAATATATCGATTTGAGGGAACATGTAAAAATGAGACACTTACATTATTTTTTGCTAATTCCGAGCTCAATTCGAACCTCTAAAAACTAAAATGACCCCTAAAACCTTAAACGAAGATTTTTTGACATGTTAACCGTTGAAAAAGTTGAATTGGACTGCAATTTACAATTTATACGAACTTTTGGGTTGCAATTTGAAAAAAAAATTTAAATGACTTCAATTTGTAAAATACGAATTTTAAATGATTGCAATTTGCAAATTTTTTCTTTTTCTTCTTTTTAAAAAAATGTCTCATGACAAATAGTGGGGTGAGCATTTCCAACATTTTTTTGTCAATTATGACCTCAAAGTGAAGCCAAAGGACCAAAATGCCCCCCAAAATCACTAAAAATCATGTGTTTGACATGAAAAATCAAAGAATTAAAAATATTCCATTAGGTTTTTGACATGTCGTAAAAATAATTTTTAATTTTTATTTGGTGGTAAAATAAGAGTTTTAGTGATAAAAAACCCTTTTTTTTTTGTGGTAATAGTAAAAAAGCCAAAAATTAGTGTTTTTTATTTTTATTTTTTTAATGTAGTTTTTTTTTTTTTTAAAAAAAAAGGTCTCATGACAAATAGTGGGATGAGCATGGTGGTGAAGTGGTGAAAACTAGAAACGTGATAGGTTTCACGTCCCGCCAATCATGTTGACGGTCGACGGCCTACCAACCCATATATCCATCCATCCATCTCTCTCGATAACTCAAAATCTCAACATGAAGTATTATTTCTTATTTTCAAGAATTATTAAATTTATAAATTAAGTTTCATAATTGATATTAGCTGTCACAACGTGAGGACTATAATGCATTTATGCCAGTCATATTCCAGGTCATCTTAATCAACGGCTCTTCTTTCATCTCTTTTACAATCTCTGCCGTTTGTTTCTGCTCAATCATATTCCACGTTGTACTGTTGTATGCACCTCATTGTTTTTGGTTTTTAGTAAATTTATTTATTTATTAGTTGGTGCTTAGCTCTACCGTTGAGGAAGTTATGGTTGCATTTAGCAAACGTTACTCTCTCCGTTTTATATATGAATTATAATAACTATTTAAAACAAGATGAACGTAAAGAGACGAAGAGAGTGTATATCTCAGTACTATATTACATTCCAAAGTGTTTGGAGAAATTGGCTTAGAAAATTTAGGGGTATCGGAGTATTTTCATCTACTTAAATGAAGACAATATTTGTAATTTGAGATGAAAAACTTTGTGCAAGTATTTAATAGAATGCCAGTTAATATAGCAAACCTGACATATAAGCGTAATCGGATGGATCTCACAACACTCTCGCTCATAGGAGGTCGTTCAAAATGTGAAAATGAGAATTTAAGGATTAAGAGTGTGTCAAGGAATAAAAATATAAAAGGGTAAGAATTTCTCATATCCGATATGAGGCGGAAAATTCCAATTTTTCCGTAGTCATTTTCATTCACCCAAATGCCACAGGCATAGGGTTCACTCAATTTAGTTTGACTGTTTAAGGATACGAGTAAATTAGTGGGACTACAAAGAGCTAAAATTCAGCTCATCCAGCATAAAAAGACAGAAGTAAGATGCCTTAATATTACAGAACAGTCGTTATACCCGCAAATTAATTGAGACATACATGGGTATCAAATCATCAAAAGATTGCATTAGATCAACCTCATTAAGACTAGATACCCCTTCTAGGACACAGTCTTACCATTCATTATTTATTAAGAGAATGCACATAATTAATCATTATCGAATTTTCATTTCAACTATAATATATACCTCAAGTTTCCTTATTTCTAATTGTAAACCCATGTCAAATTTAATCGTACAATAATAATAATGATTGCTGAAACAAAATCATGCAAACGACGAGACTATTTGTGGAGGATAGGTGTTACAGTCAGTAGATATTGTCTATATCAGACTCTTAACAACACGGTTTTTGAACCTTACATTGATCAGCAAGAGCATAATTGTAAAATTAATTCAGAATAATGGTTCATCTGAAGCATAACAATTTGTAGATAGCTCATATGAGTACAATGATGCAGAGTTGATTAAACTTCTGTTTCAGCTCGTAACTGATAGGAAGAACTATTACGACTGTATTACCATGAGAAACATAATACTACAAAAAATTTAATTTGATCTGATATGTTTCTAGTAAGTTATCAGACAGAAATAAAGCTTGCTTAGGTCAGAAAAATTCAGCACAGCCAGTGGTTGTTGACAGAAATACAAATATTTATCATGTATGTATGCTGAATTGCCGCCAAGAGAGTAGTTCTAGCCTTATAGGGGCATATGATATATACATACAACCAGCGTGTGTAACACCAGATGTAAAACTGTAACATTTAGACCTTTATATGGATCAAAAGCTCCTCCATAGCTTAACAAACACGATGAACTGTGACAGATTGCCTTTTTCTATCTCTAGATGCGCCATAGGCTATACAATTCTCATCATTTAAATTACTTCGATCTCATACCCTAAGCAAAAGTAATAATTTATGGTTGAGAATGTACTTTCATCCCAGGCCAATGTTTGGATCATTAGTGTGTTACAGAATCAAGCAGCAGTAAATGTCAAGGGAGCCTTTCTGAACTAAGCACAAGGTTGCCTAAGGATGTTCTTACATATATTTGTAATAATTTAACCAGCATGCGCTAATAAATACAGTGCAACACAGAAAAACCTAACAACAATATAGTCTGTATAAAATTTTAAAGAAAATACTCACTATAATTCCAGAGCATGTTATTTCACCTGAAAGGCTGAAAGGACTTGCTCCTTATGTACATGCTTAAACTCTACGATAAGTATTATATCTCTTAACAATAAGAACTTGTCACAAAAGCTTAAAAATGATCTGTTCTCATACTGCTCAATTTATCAAGTATCGAGCTATCTTATACATTTAAAATCTATATTTATACACAAATCCAACAGCAGACATGATTGAAGGGAATTTCTGATTATAAAGAACTTCTACCATGTTTAGGCCTATGGCTCTGAAACATCAGAAAATTTATCTGAGGGGCTGTTAGTATCACACTATTACACGTTTAGTGTACCTGCTGCTGCTCTATCACGTAATTAACAACACTTCACATCAGTAAATGATGCACTAGCAACTGACCAACTGCAATCACTGTTAACATATATATGATTTGACCGACTGCATTCTCTGTAACATATGATCTTGTGTTTCAAGATACCAAAGGGCAGTCATATCATCTGAAAGATTTTGTCTGATGCATTTGCTTCTTGAAGCAGTGGAGACCAACCATTGGCTTTACTTTTCAGCCCATCAATAAAAAAATCTCTTGGCTAAATCCCCTACAATCAAACTGCTCTAATTCTTGCAATAAGAATGAGGACCATGAAACTAAAAAGGAGAAAGATAAACCAAGGTTCACACGTATTCCCTCTTGAATCACTTCCTCAATCTTTTGTGGCGTGTCCCCATTACATCCAACCCATCTACATCTCACTGTGAAGAGAACATGCTTACAATAAGTTTTTAATTAAATTATTATTTGTAAATTAAATTGTCAAATAAAGGGAAGCATCAAAGACTATTCTCAACCACAATCTTGCTTTCATTTCCACTTATAAGTTGTACACAACAAAATCAATATGGGCTTAATAAAAGAAATAAATATTTACCAGGTAAGCTAATAATAGACATAAATGAATACTCTACCAGATACAACATAGACGAACAATATGCAGCTATCTTCAGTACAATGATGTCTTCATTCAAACTATCACTAACATCAGTACTAGATAGAAGGAATAGATAACTTCTCTGTGCCCCATTTACATTCAAGAGGCGTTACTTAAACAATTAAACCTTCTAAACATGATTTCATCAGAAAAAGAATTTTCTTATAGTACTTTTAAACCACAAATGAGACAATCCTTTTGCTGTGATGAGCAGAAATGGCAGCAGAGTAAGAAAAATAAATTTCATATAAATCAGCCCAGATATTGGCAGCAATCAGTTTCAGTATTCACATATTTGATTAAAACTACTCATATCCATGTTAGACACATGAGCACAAGAACATGATCATGTTACCATCATCAGGATATCCAGCACGTACACCTTCTAGGAACGATAACAAGCTGCACTTGCATCACAAGGATTCTAAACAAAAAGATATGCAAGCATTAGGGAAATGAGTGGCCATCTAACAGCAAACCTGTTACAGCCAAATAAGTTGAATGCAAGAAGTAACCGCCATAAAGAGCTGCATTGTAAACAAGATAAATTAACAAACCTGTATTGTAGAACTTGAATGTTTGTGTCTTCTACCAATATCAACATTTCCTCTTTGCATCATCGCAACAAACTCATTATAATCTATACGACCATCCTGCAAATTTTAATAATAATGATAACATCTAGTAAGACTACCAAGATACACAGACGAAACAAGAAATTTAAAGAAACAATTTGTTCTACTTGGTCAATGAATTAACTTGAAAGTGGTCCATCAATTAATTAAAGAAGAACAGTAGAACATACTTTATCTTGGTCTGCTTCATTGATGATTTCTTCAACATGAACAACGTCCATGCCAAAATCCTGACATGCTTGTTGTAGTTCATCTTTTGTAATGTATCCACTTCCATCTTTGTCAAAGTAGGCAAAAGCTGCACATAGATGGTCTTCTTTGTCAACTCTGTGGAGATGCAACATAGCCGCGATAAATTCTCCATAGTCAATAGTCCCACTGTTATCAACATCTGCCTGCAGTTTCAAGATACATATGATTAGCCATCTTAAGGTATAGCCAATTTCAAAATATAGTCACAAAGTCGTCATAATTCTGAAGAGAAGTGATGAATGAGCAATACCTGCAGTTTTTATTGCAATAAGTATAATCTATGGAATGCGTTAATCAGTATAATAGCTCAATGTATCATAATTGTTGATTCTAATCCATTGTACCAAGGGAGTCTAAAATAAAAAACTAGATGCTTCTTACCCTGGCTCATTGCTTCGTTTGAGGTAAAGACTAAGAAGGTAATGATTTCATAACGGATACATATATTTATTGACCTAATACCATGTGCTCATGCTGACTGAAATTTATAAACTTGATAAACATACTTTGATGTTACAAAAGGCCATCAAATCAATATTGCTGTCAATTCATAATTCAGACCAAGATTTTTAAAAGCAAAAATAATACAGCAAAGAAGGAAAAGGCAAGCTAATGAATCGTCTTAGGTTGGTCAATGTTTAATCATCCACACATTTGTTCACGATATAACTAGAATCATATTATCATGTTTAATCCTCTGTAGTCTTATAGGCTTTCTATCAATGTAATTTTGGAGGAATCTTATTATTACTATTATTTTTTTTAAAACCTCAAGCAGAAGGCAGATTTATTAAACTGTAATTTAGCCTCCAAACTTACAGATTGCATTAGATAATGAATCTCAGACTCTTCGAGGTTAGCTCCAAATCTTTTCAGCCCATTCTTAAGCTCTTCAAAAGTAATCTGCCCGCTGTTATCAGTGTCTATCATCTTAAACATCTCCTTGAGTCCTGCTATCTCTTCTTCTGAAAGCCTCTCAGCTATAACCTGTATATGAGAATATAACACTTTTGATAAATGGTGATTGTAAAATTTCAAAATTTATGTCATACAACCTATTAAAGGTGCCAAGATACATACTCTAAGGGCCATTTTCTTAAGTTTATTCATGGCACAGAACTGTGTCAATCGCGAAATGACTGAGTGATCAAGAGGTTTGTCAGGAGCCAATCCATCAGCCATAATCCAGGGGTGGCCTGAAAGAGAATCAGGATCAAAAGTAAGCATCACGATAATTAGCAATCATCAGGAGGTTTAAGTATTACAGCTGAAAAAATTAAACTTATACGAAGTATATGATTCAGGAGTTCAAAATTCTAAAATAACTTGATGAAGGTGCATCAAAATATGCTAATTAATTTTTATTAACCATGAGCTTGGTAATGCTTTTACTTGATGATTTTCAAATTGGATACCAGCCATCTGGATTACTGATACCTCATACAGCTTTCAAGGAAGAACAAACATGATTATAAAAGTCGGATCAGACCTCCAAAACATGAAAAAAATTACTAGGTAATGGTCAAAAAAATAACAGCTCAGATAGAAATAACAAGTAACCAAGTCCTGCACACCCTTCATTAACTAAACACATACATTTCACATCAACAACAAAGTATAGCACAATACGGACACTAACTGTTTCACGCAATTCGTGTATTGCTTTCATGTAACATCACTAATGTAAAGCTATATGTACTAACAATAATTACCACTACTGGCGTGAGTATAAAAAAAAAAACATAGTAGATTGCACATGAAGACAAGGGACTGTACAAGAGTAGCAACGATAAAAACATAAGCAATATTGAAGATAAGAGACTGCTGTATGGGATACCAAGATATTACATGAACAATGTTAGTTGCTTCTGTTTATTAAAACTGTCTTAGTTAGATATTTATGATCTAATATAAGCGCAAATGTCAGTGAGGGTGTACTGGTACAGTCAACATTTGTATATATATAAAACCATGTATCTTCCTAAAGAAGAGTGTATTAGAACTCTAAAATCTAATTTCCTGTGTAGCACTTACATAAAACTTCATGTGCAGTTAATCTTTTCTTAGGGTCCCTTACAAGCATTCTGCGAACCAAGTCTTTTGCACCATCCGAGATATTAGGCCATGGATCAGAAATAAAATCAAGATCACCATGCAGGACTTCTTCAAATATTTCCTCCTCAGTTTCTACATCAACAAAAGATTAAAGGTCATATAATATTGCTTCTGGTAGGAAAACCAAACTAACATACCATGATACCAATTAATCAAGGTAGAAAAAAAAGAATAAAATGATTGAATTATAGCTTATGACTTCTTACCTGCCCAGAAAGGAGGCACTCCACTTAGGAGAATGTAAAGGATCACTCCAGCACTCCAAACATCAGCCTCAGGACCATAACGTTTGCGCAATACCTCAGGTGCTACATAATATGGACTCCCTACCACATCGTTGAAGACATCCCCTAAAAAAATAACAATAAAAAAATCAGCATAGGACACAAAGAGGCAAGTTATGGTCCTCTGTAACAACAAAAGGCATCTAACAAAGAAATGGGAATTGGGGATATAACCAGCTCTAGTTATTTTATTATCGGTCCTAGGTAATCTTAACTTGCCTATACAAGAGGCTGTTCCATATCGAACCACAATAGATAGAGCTATAGCTATAGCTATAGATAATTGTCTAAAGTACTGAATAAACTAAATTATTCTTAATAAACAGGAACATAATTCCAGGATAAGGGGTCGTTACAACTTTGAAATAACTTCTTAAGGCCACGACCACATTATCAAGCTGAGAAAACTGACAGCACTTCTATGGAATGAATTCGAAAGAATACAAAAGCCACACCATTTGCTGTGTGAAGCATATTTCTCTTGTGGAAAATAAACATGAACTTAGTATTTGGAATGTTTATATTTTTTCTTCCAATGAATTCACAAGTTGTTTCCTACAGATGGTCATTATAAAGCCTTCTAGAGAGCTGGGGTGCAGCAATTCAAGACATATTTAAAACTGTTTCATCGTTATGCTGCTCTTTCTAGTAAAGCATGTCCAGACATTGATGCTGCTATATATACATTTTACTTTCGTGGAATAGTCATGATTTTATCTTTCCACAAAAGTTGACCTTTGACAAACAGAAATCAAGACTACCATGTTCAAGACTCACAATCATGTTTGAAAGAAAGATCATACAAAACATTATTTGCTTGAGAGATTTGAGAGATATATACCTGGCTTGAAAAATATTGACAATCCGAAGTCTATAGTTTTGAGAGGTGATTCCTCCTTCTCATCCACGAAAAGAAAATTCTCAGGCTTAAGATCACGATGCATGACTCCTAATGAGTGGCAGGCTTCAACAACACTAACTATGATCCTAGCAAGATTAGCTGCCTTCCTTTCTGTGTAATGCCCCCTCTTGACAATTCTATCGAAAAGTTCACCTCCAGAACAAAGCTCCATGACAACATGAATAGCCACGCCGTCTTCATAGGCATCATTAATAGTGATCACATTAGGATGCCCCTTCAAGTGATGCATAATCTGGATTTCTCTTCTCACATCATCCACGTCTTCCTTGTTAATCAGCTTTCTTTTCGCGATTGATTTGCAAGCATATTCTTTCCCAGTGGCTTTCTCCACACAAAGGAAGGTAGTACCAAACTGCCCATGTCCAAGTTTTTTCCCTAAAGAGTAAAATTCCTTCAGATTTCCAGTCTTTCTTCTTAAAACCGAGTGCACTTGCAGCCCTGCACTAGCCACCCTTTTCACATTTACTGGCCGCTTCTTGGTCTTTTCCTGGTCTCCTCCATTAACATTTCTCTTTCGACTCTCTTGCCTTACTATTTTACTCTCTTGTCTTCCCATCCTGCTCTCCTGCCTCCCCATCCTGCTGCTCTCCTGCCTTCCTAACCGGCTTTCTTGCCTCCCTACATGGCTCTCTTGCTTATTTACTCGACTCTCCTGCCTCCCTACTCGACTCTCTTGTCTATTCAACCGGCTCTCTTGTCTGCCTAATTTACTGTCAATCTTCACTACCTCAGGTGGCTTAAATTGCACATCTATTGACCTATCTTTTCCTTTGATATCGCCGTTTGCACCATCTCCAATTGTCTGATTTGGTGGCTTGCACCAAAACCCAACCTGAATAAGCTTTGAAATGCAGTTGTTCCCCATCTCATACTAAACACAACCCCTTCTCCCACCTCGCCGCTCAATAACCAATGCCTATTTGTCTTATGATCACCCAATTGGGTTCAGGGTTTTTCATATCAAGATGATGTCAAGAACCAAAATCAATGGTGACATTGCATTTCCCTAAAACGATATCGATGATCCAGAAATATAAACCCTATAAAACAAACCAAATTTGATAAAGTTGCAGAAAAATATCAACCCCAAATGCAAAGCACAATTTTGAAGGCAAATCAGGGTGAATGATAAAAATTGGAAAAATTAATACAAATTCTTAACAACCCAAGTTGAGAAAATGATCAAATTTTCATAAACAAACAACAATTCAAATCCTGGATCTCCCAAAAACCAAGAATTTATCTAATGTGATTGACAAGATTTTCTTTAAGAAGCGGAATTAATTTTGGAGGGAAAATGAAATAGGTGAAAAAAATAAAAATAAATCAATGTGTTATGAAAAAATATCGAAAATGAACGAGAATTTAATCGTTTTGGGGGAAATGTAAAACAGGGTTTTGAAAATTTGATGTAATTTCCAGTTTTTTGGGGAAAAGAGAGAAAATTGGAGAAAGAAAAAGAAAAGGTAATATTACAGTTTTTTCTGTTAGAAAGCTTTCAAATTCCAACGACGTGGCTTCAGTTAACATTCTGGAAAATCCAACGGCCAGGAGATGTGAGTTTCAGAGATCAACGGTGATTTTTGCAGTTGTATAGTAAAATTTTATTTATTGGGTTCATTTTTTACTCAAAATACAGCCATGTTGCCGGCCTTAATGCCAGCTGAAGTTGAGATCTTCTAGGGAATTCATATACTATGTAAATACCGAGGTTAATTTTGAACAAGTGGAGTGTAATTCTTAATTTATTTTAGTGTCGCGAGATAAAGAACAATGATTTGAGCTTAAACGAAGTTTGGTCAAAAAATGATTATCAATCTCCCAAACTTTAATCAACTAAGTTAGAAACATGAGACACCTAACTTTACTTATATTGCTTTGTGTATCACAATTTTTACAAAATGATGCATTAATGGACATAATTAACATTTATACTACTCAGTATAAAGTATGAACCATAACATGATAGGTTTATCTTTAGAGGACGTTTGGTTAGTGTATTTTTTAGATTGAAAACGGATTCGATTAAACCAATATCGTTACCGTGTGTTTAGTTTGAAGGCATGGTAATAATTCCCATTACCTAAGGGTAATGATTACCCTTGATTTATTACCACTAAAAAAATTGGGGTGACAAATATCCTTACCCTCCTCTTAACAAATACCCTTTCTATGGTTAAACCAAACAAATGAAAAGGCAATATCTAAATGATTCCTTTCTCCCCCACTTAATTGATCGCTTTCCACTCCGTTTCCACTTTTCGAACCAAATGCCCCCTCAATGTAATACAAGTACTTATATATATATCATATACTTAGTACTGAGATCAGCACGATTATTCAGCTTTACTGGTCTGTTTTATCAATTATTTATTGCTATCCAGAAGCATTTTGCAAATTTACTGCTTGAAAAAGTCAGGAAACATGGCCTCACGTCGATAAGCCATAAAAAAATAAAGTGAAAAAAAAAAAAAAGACTTAGAATGCTTCCAAGTACAGAAAATAAGTTGACCATGCCCATGTCTACAAATCTTTTAGTTCTTTTAAAATCAACTTAATTAGTTAATTAGCACAAAAAAAGATGAAAGAACAAGATCATAAGCTTTGCCTACCAAACGAGGGACAAGCTTGCTAAAGACCAGCCCTCCACATCTCTGGCACAATCTTTAGGTCAACAATCATTCTTGCAAACTGAAAACAAAAAACCTAACAATGCATAAACTGTACAATAACCGAGCTGATATTCATGCGTTCATGATATTTATTGTTTTGCTACGAAGTATAGCATACATGTCCTTTAGTTTCTAACGTCAGAACAGAAGGTGTGGAAAAAAAAAACTCCTTAGAATCAGACATCCCTAGCCAGTCCAGTGAGATCAACATTCCCAGAGTCTGAGCTGTTTGGAATTGTCTTTTGTTCCTTCAGAATATGGCCATCGATGGGTATTTCCTGCCTCCTTGGTGATGATGAAGACCCCCAAATATAGATGGATCATCCATTAAGCGGGAGAACTCATTTCTCATCTCCTCAGCAGCTTCAAAGAAACGGCTGATACCCCCAAAGAAACTGCGTTCCATAGCCTCAATATCACTGCGGAGTCCAGGGAATTCAAAGGGTCGCATCATATCATTGGATGGGAAAAATGACTCTTTCTTCATCTCATCAGTCACATCTTCTTCTGTGTACTCTTTGTTTGATTCCACAATCTCAGTAGGCCTGTATTTTACAGTTTCAAGTAAAATAGGCAAAATATGAGCCACAATACAAGGGACAGTTACACAAATACAACATTGACCCTATGCCTTAGGGTCTTAAATTATCATCCACTAGCCGACAAAAAGTCAAATCTGTTGTTCTTGATAAAATTATAAGAGTGGTGCATAAGACATCAAACGGCTGAAAATTCAGGCAATTTAAATAAAATGGTTGCTCAAATTTAGAAATCAACTTCCCCATTAGAGTAAATTAAAAAATGACCAACTTCAGCCTTGTTGGAGTAAATTAAAAGGTCATTGTCAATCATAAAAAATGATAGAATTCTCTGGGGATCTAGAAAGCCAAAAAAAAAAAAAAAAAAAAAAAAAAAAAAAACAAGGTAATATAAAAATTAGAAAGCCCCCATTATGGCAGAGTATTGAAGCAAGATATACACAACCCTGTCCTAGTAATCTACAGTAACATAGAGGCAGCTTCCATTAGATTTTAGATAGGTATCTTCTGGCTACTCCAGATATACCAAATTATTGGACATAACAAAGAAACACTTCAGTCAGTCAATTACATGTTCAAAAGCTAAAAAAACTGATCACCCAGACGGATAAAAAAGTTTTTGATACCAGCACAAAAAAAAATAAGCAATGGTTTATCCTGTGGCTTAAATATCAAATCTGCATACCAATAAGTTCCAATCTCTAAGCCAAACAGATAGGATTCATCAGTGTAACTACTCATTAATGCATCAGTAGTAACAGGAGGACTCAATAGGCCAAACACTCTATAAAGATGATGCTTGATGACATTGGACACAAGCAAGACTAGGGAGGTTAATAGTCATAAACTACCAAGCTCGAATTGATCAAAGCACAAGGCAAAGCTCTCCAATTGAGCTCAGGTTCAGCTTGAGATTTTAAGGAGCTAAGCCCCAACCAAGCTTGGCTCAGCTTGATAGTTTGTGAGCAGGAGTTTTAGTAATGATAAAAAATTCATAAAACATATTTTATGGCTAATAAATATACTAATGACTCTTTATAACTGGGGCTTGACCGCTTAAAGACAAATATATAAGAGTTTATGTTTACCAAGAAAGATATAATGTGGTAAAAGTTTAAAATAAAATCATCTTAAATAGGATAAAAAGAAGGGTTAATTATGGTGATTAGCTTCGTTGGTTCATCAACCTGAATAGGCTATTGCAAGCATGTCATGCAACCAAGAAATATGGACAAGCAAGCACTCTAAGAGACTAAATTCAGATCCATCAAATCTGTTAAACACCTCTTGGAGCTTAAAAATGCTGGTCAAATCTATGGGCAATATTCATGCTCATTAAGAGTCCTGACACAACGACAGAATTCATCACCAAAGGAAACCCCTTAAGCTTTAGTTAAATTCAATTCAAAACTACCGAGTGTAAATGCAAGTGATAAATAAGACCTTCTAGACTCTCAAGTTATGAAGCAGGGCCTAATTGGACAAGTTCTAGTGAAATATTTTTTTAAAAGTAGTTGATGAGGATAATTTTGTGCCACGGGTTCCAATTCCCAAGCCAAGGAAACTCTAATTTGCATTTGATAAAGCACTAGCTTGAATTGCAATAGCAAGATTTTACTCAGATTATGTCTCGCATCGGTAGAGAATCAAATGATGGAATCCTTGGGGACATTTAAGAGAAAAAATTAATTTTGGTGTCAATGTTCAAAGTGAATCTGGGCCTTGGCATCTTTATCTTGGGTTGGGTCTTTGAGCTTCAGATCCAGCTGGCAATAAGCTCAGGCCGAACTTATAGATTGGGTGTCAAGCTTGAGCCAAGCTCAACATATCAAGATTGGTGAGCTTTGAGCTCAAGCAGGAGCCTTACCCAGAGTACATTCAAGCTGAGACAAGCTTACTTAAAAGCAATCTTAACTTGGCTCGTTAACACTCCAAATCCAGAAATCATTTAACAGCTCTCAAACACAAAATAATACAGAGTACAGAGCACAAACAGGGAAAAGTGTTTGCATTCTCGTTAAAATAACATCAACACAGACCATGACCATTCGAAACACCCATTCCCTTCACATAAGAAAACCTGTTTCACTCTTCCAAGCAACGCAGACTAAAGCCTTACTAGGAGCATGCATGGAAATCATACGGTTGGAAAGGCAAGGAAAAAAAGCTCAATTTTGTCTAGCAACAAACGAAAATATTTAGTTGAAGAGTGGGTTCTTTCCCAGAAGGCCAGCGCCTAAAACACGTGGAAATTTATGCAATTAAGTTGCTATGAAACACATAAATCACTTAGAAATTTGGCATAGTTATATGTGCACACAAGGGTAAAGGAGTTGAAGGCCACGGAAATATACGTAAAATGTAATCAAGGTGATAAAGTTCACATTTTTCTCTCTTAAATTATCATCTTTAAGACTTTAACACGCGTATAAATTCCCTTATTAACACCACAAGTTCCTAACCTTGGCTATTAGAACATCTTCTCCCAAAATCTCTTATCTCTCATGGCATAGCTCAAAGTGATCAGCTTTTTGAGCAAGTGTTGCAGTTCATTTTTCATAGATAAAAACTAATTCTTAAAAAAGTAAAAGACCCCTGAACACCACCACAAATATGGAAAAGGTTCTGTATACATCCTATTGAAACTGCCTTGGATTATAGCTTAAAAATCCCAAATGCAACAATTTTCCAAAATATAAATGAAACTGAGTAGTTCTTTGGAATTAAAACACTCTCAAAGGTTGCATATTCACACATGCCCAATATAATTTCTTTGAGCATCCACACTTCCACAAAATAGAAAATTCATTCAAGTACAGTTAATTTTACTTCCAGCCCATCAACCCAAAAACAATACAGAAGGTTTTCTCGCTCTTTATTCCATTTCTTTTCTCTGTGAAAGAAAAATGAAGTCCATGGATTTTATCAAATGCAGCCAGCGAGTTCACTGTTCTTAAAAAAAGCTTTAATAAAACAGTTCATCTAGCATAAATGAAAGTAACAGATTGATAAATTGGTTCTAAATACCGAACTACCAACAAAAACTTCCATCTTATGATTGCATATAGTAATTGGTCTAATAATGAGATTTCAATATCTATCGCTAAGTAATCAAATACATGAATCCATCACTATATCTCACAGTACAGACCCAGATTATTACTTCTCTAAAAGCGGTCTGAGTCACGAGCTTAATCACATATCAGCACAAATGATCTTCCCAACATAATTTTCAATCAGGCTCAGCTTGTTTGACTAGAAAACCTTTACCTAAGTCCATGTAACACATCTTACTAATTCGCAACTCCTAAATCATGTAAAGGTATGCAAATCACATATAATCAAATTCAAAATAGCCATTAACATCAGCAATTTCTTCAATTGCATATAATAGTTGTTAAATTTTCGGCAATATTTTTCACCAAATCAATTCAGATGATTCAAACAACAAGTGATTTGTACTCATATCAATGCAATCACAACAGCAAAAAGAACAAAAAAAAAAAAACCGACCGAAATCAAATTGCGAGAAATTCAGGAATCCAAAGCAAACAAAAAAAATAAAGAAAATTTATCAAAAATCAGAGAATGGAGGAAGAGAGAGACTGACTTTCCGACGCAATCCTTGAGAATTTTCTCGGTTTTCTCGCATTTTCTGACGAATTTACCAGGCTCAACTTCCTCAGTGTTGCATTTGGATTGCACAATTTTCCTAGTCGAGCAACGATCGGATGAATCGGAGCTAGGGTTAACTTTAGGGTTTTTGAATTCTGCTATATTGAATGAATTCGAGTGATTAGGTTCGTCGTCGTCGTCTCTCCAAACCCACCCCATTTTTCCTGTAGAGAGTTCTGTTTTTGTTTCTTGGCGCACAATCTAGAACACTCAAACCCAGATTTTTTTTTTTTTTTTTTTTTTTTGAAGGAAACCATTCTTTCTCTGATAATGGTATTTATACTTGGTTCTCTCAGAGGCGGTCTGTGTACAAGGGTGCTATGGTCATTTCACTCATTTGATTAAATATCGAGGATTCTCTGCTTTGACTTAACTGTATTAACACTTTTCCCTATAACCATGTTTAATGATTTATACATAGGCTATATTTGGTATCAGTTTTTAGCTGATTGATATAACTGGTTTTACTAGCTGATTATAATAGATGACTAGATTAATTCCATGCGTTGCATAGTTTAAATAAGATTTATTTGTTTAAAATTGTTGTCAATATTCTTTATTCGAAAAAGTGTAATCATAATCTTATTTATTAATTTTGAAAGAAATATTGTAATTGTTTAGTTTTAGAACTTAGGAAAAAAAATAGAGAAAAAAAATGATAATGTTAAAAATAGTTTTGGCATGAAAAAATTTCATAAGAATTTGACAAGTGTCCTTAATGATGTCAACATGCTTTTGTTTTAGTAATAATTAATAGATTAATAGATAGATTAATAGATTTGGCTACCTAGTTGTAAATAACTAATTGTGTAAAAGTGTTTGGTAAATAGTTGTTTACTAGGTTAATTCCTGTGTCATGCATGGTAATATTAATATCCATTATTAAAGTATCATTTTTAATTAGTTTATTATAAACAAAAAAAATATCTAAAAACATTATTGACAAAATTTTATCAAAATAAAAGATTTTGAAAAATTTGTTAGATATAAAATGATGTATATAATGATAAATGTGTTATAAAACAAAAAATTTGTGAAATAATATTTAAATATTGAAATGTATGAGAAGCAAATTTTATTTATTAATTGTGTAGGACAAATTTGTATTATTAGTCAATAGGAAGATTTGTAGAATAAATTATTTTGGAGAATTTTTATTTTCTATAAGAAGCCTTAGCTTGGAAGAAAGAAAAAGGTTGAGAGCGAGGAAGAAAATATTAATAATAACAATTTTTTTTTGAAGGAATATTAATAATAACCATTTACTATAATTAAATTTTACAAAATAGTGGTTTGTTACTTGAATAGTTTTGAATATATTTTAAATTTTACAAAATAGTGGTTTGTTACTTAAATAGTTTTGCATATATTTAATTTGGAGCTATTTTCATATTAACATATTAATATTTTAGTATTTTATTAGATTTGAATATAAAAATTTAAATGTAGTAGAGTTATAAAAAAAAATTATGGAGTCTAATCAATGACTATATAGACAAATATTTTTAGTTAAAAAAAAATATGAATATTTTTTTTAGAATGTATTGCAAATTATGTTATGAATATTTTTTATAGCTATAAATATTTGTCCTAAAGATATGTCAATTTTTTCCCGTAAAAAAAAATGTCAATTTTTTTATTTTAAGTAATTATATTGTATGAGATAAGGAATTATTTTTGTATAAGATTTTATTTTTTTAATAGAATTTTATATAGGAAAAAAAAAACCAATAAGAACACACCAGGAGATGACACGTGTCATTGTTGGTGTGTCTTTTAGTATATATTCGTAGTTATTGATGATTGGTAACCATTTCAGTGTATTTAATATCAAATAGCTAATTGTTTAATAAGCTAATTTCAAAAAAACTCTTTTAATAAGCTATTTACAAAACACCAAAAATTAGCTTTTTAATCCCATTAAGAAAAGAAAAAAATTATAGCTTTTTAAAATGGTCAAATCTTTAATAGTGTTCAATAAGCTAAAACTTTTTCAAAAAGCTCTTTATGAAACAAGACCGTAATGAAAAATATAATCGAGTATATCTTGTTAGATTCGTCATGATATATATTTTCAAATTATCAACTTTTTATAATTTTTGCTTATCACTAAATAAAGATATCTAAAAAGAAGTGACAACTAAAAAGAAAGGTAAGAAGTAGTATGGAGTGCATGTATTTTATATTATATGCAACTTTTACTAAAAAACGATGCTACACATAATATACAACAAATAATTTCTTTCTTTTTTAACTTGGCATGTCTTTAGATCTGATCAACTATGGCCAGACTTGCCTGACCCGATTGGAAAATATAGACGATAAGGTAATTTGTAGTTAAGATGTACTTTGAGGTTTTTTCAATGGTATAATAATATCAATTCTCTTGTGGATGTCAAATAGTTTAGTTAGTTACAATGGAGATGAATAGATGATACCAAGAAATTGAATTTTATTTACTACGTATATCATTGCATTAGCGGCTCTCCCTAATATTAAGGTATGAACTGTTTTTGGTGCTACACTTCGAGGCGCACACTGAACCACCAGCTTAAGAATTACTTGTCTTTTTTACCTATCAAATTGGTATAGGAAGCATGCAAGTGTACAACAATACAAGTATATTTTTACTGTGTTGATTTATCCCTCCCCCCCCCCCTTTTTTTTAAATGTAAAACCGCAAAACATGTCAGTTTTGGTAATTAGTTGGTAATTGATTGTATTAGCTGGTTTGAATAGCTAGTTATGATTAGGTAATTGTGTAAAAGTGTAGAGTCAATAGTTGTTAATTGTTAGCTGTTTTAGTGTATTTAAGAGACAAATAAGCTAATTTTAAAAAGCTCTTATAATGAGTTTTTTCTAAAATGTTTTTTTAGCCCAAAAAGCTCTTATAATGAGCTTTTTAAAGAGCTTTTTCTAAAAAGTTTTTTTTAGTCCAAAAAGCTCTTCTTAATAAGCTATTTATTAAACACCCAAGTTAGCTTTTTTAATTGGTCAAACATCTTATTGGGCAAAATAAGCTAAAAACTCTTTACCAAACAAGGCTTTGTTCTCTCTGCGTCTCTAAAACACATCTTTCATTAACTGCAATCTCTGCTTTGTGGCTTGGACGAGAATTGTAGCACTAACATTGACTATGCCTGCTTTATTTTTATTTTATTGGTGAAGACTATGCCTGCTTTATTAGTTGTAGGCTTGTAGCTGAATTAGCAAGAATATGTTTTTGAATCGAAGGAAATATATTGCATCAAAGTTCAAAGAGAATCGACTTTAAACGATAAATGGAGAAGATCTCTTACTTCCTACAAAAAAATTATTCAGAGAGAAAACAGAAGTTGTATAAATCAGACGTCTTCAGCCTCCTTTGCTAAACCAGACTTCTTTGTCCTCTTTCGCTATGACCTGTTCATTATTACATCAAAAGTCTTAACCCTTCAGCTTAAACCTCTATGTTATGAATATGCTAAACAATACTTCCACTTTTCAAAACAGGCCACTTTCTTCAATTCTGTGACTTCTGAGTGAAATTGCTCAGAATATTCAGAAGAATCAACTTGCAGTTTACAAGTTCTCAGATACATATGAACAATATCAGAGACGTTTCACAATTTCCTCATTGGCACGTATATAATATGTCATTCTACGGATGGCATTTAATGCCTCATTGGTATCCTGGCTTTCGAATGCTCCTGCAAATGTATTGGACCATTGTTTTAATCTCTCATGTACCTGAGCCATTATAGTAAAAAATTATTAGATATTGTATGAATATATATATCTACATATACACCATAAAGCTGGACAGCTGGTAATAGCAAAGACATTTGGCTTGGCCGCATTGCCTTCCTTCCATATGTTAACACTAAACACTCGTATTAATACCAATCACCATGTGGAAAACATAAAAATATTATACTACCTCCATTAATGGTTATTTGCAACTTTGAAATTTTTTATATCTCACAAATAATACCCTAAAGTTGCAGATAGTCATTAACGGAGGTAGTAATTTTTTTGCTTCCAGAATCTCTCTTTTCAGGATTGCAAATGAGCCAGGCACACAGTAGTTTAAACAAGCAACAGTTCATATGTAATTCAATATCAGACTTCTATAGAAAATCTCAAACCTCTGCCTGAATCTGTTTTAATGCCTGAGAATCAGGAGCATCTTCAACAGATTCTCTGATCTCCATAATCTGAAATGATCAAGATGTTTATCTTATTAGTCAAGCACACAAATGAAGAAAAAGCATAGATAGCAAACAAAATGAAATGTAAACATAACTAGCAAACCAGAAAGTACTTCGATACTAGTCCTAAACTCATAATATCTAGAAAATGGTATGCTTATTTCTCAGGTTCTTGTTAATAATGGCTAATTTCGGTTGACTAAAAGTCCTTCAACGCCTTTGATCTTTACAGCAACCAAGGACTGGATTCCATCAATTACTCAACTCTGTCCTTAAATAAAGTACAAAAAAGGTTATGGGTATGATTGATTAAAAGCGAATAAAAAAAAGTAGAAAACGGGTTTTAATTAATAAAGGTGAATATAAAAAACAAAATTGAGGAGTTTAGTTGAATAAAATGGAAAAAAAAAAAAAAAAAAAAAAAAAAAAAAAAAAATTGGGGTTTGGTTGATTAAGAGTGAATAAGATATGGGATTTTTATATAGAGAAGATTTTTGGAATAAGACTGTTCTATGGGGATGGAACTAGGGAAGGAGTGTTTATCTTCTAAAACTCAAGAGATGGACTAGCCAGCAGGGTGGGTTTAGTTTCTTTCTATAGATAAGAAGTCAGCTATGTGCATGAAACACCTTCCTAATTCCTACTACAGCTTTGACTCTATAGCAGGAAAGACCTGCTAGGAGTTTCATCCATGAATCCATGATGAAGACAGAAAAGTGATCAAGGACGACCAATCCACAATCAAAAAGACACTAGAAAAGCCTAATACAACGGAACACCATAGAATTCAAGTAAAAATTGATTAAAAATAATTAGCCAAGCTCAAATTTCCAACAATTTTAATAGCTGACATTATCAACAGATCTGTTTTCTCTGTATAAACATCTGCAGAAAATATAGCATGATCTCAAATAAAAGACATTATGCTTTCTTTCCTATCTTCTTTGATATAAAAATAAAAAATAAATTAATTCCAAACTTAACAACCATAGTCAAGCTTCTAAATTAAATTCATGGGGAATGCATTCCTGCAAAAACTACATAGGTTCTCAAGTGGTTCTTTTTGAACTAATGGTCACAGCTTACATTGATTTCGACATTCAACGGGACACCAGAACTAAATTTCGAAAGAGACGATCATTATTCATTAAAGAGGAGAAGGTTAGAGCTTCAGCATCAAATTCAATTCTATTATTCCATAAGAGTTCATGCATTGATAGCACAGTCCAGTAGACAAAATAATTATACTGGATGCCGAAATGGATTTTGGAATTTAAGAATACTAATCGAAATTAACAAGTCAAATAGCTAATGTAATTATCTAAATGGATTGTGTAATTATCTTACCTCAGCTAGCAACTCGGGATCTGAAACAGTCTGCTCTTCATCAACGTGTACACCATGTAACTTCATCTGCCATGGTAGAAATCACACATCAATTGTCTTATATGGAGGCCTGATAAATGAAGAAAAGGTATAACAGGAGGCCAAATAACATTCTGAAGTAACGTGTCTATTGACTGGTTTCTAACTAAATTCTTCACGGGGAGAGAGAGAATGGGGGGGGGGGGGGGTAGAAAGCACAGTTGAAGTGTCGTTTGGTTCTAAGCCTTCCTATTCTCACTTTAAAACCTCCTGGCTACCTTCGCTTTTTAAAGCCCAAGCATGTCTATTTCTTGGTAATCCATTTGAAAAGAAAAAAAAAAAAAAAAAAAAACGAATTCAATAAATTATAGACCTATCAGATTTATTTTTTGAAGGTTGTTCTGCTTCATAAAACAATGCTTCTTTTAGGATAGTCTCAGTCAGATCCATCTTCTAATTTCTCTTTCCCTTTACTTTTCTTGATTATCCTTACTCTCTACTTTGTTTGCTCTTCCTCTATTTCCATCTTTTCCACCTACTTAACTCACATTCCCAGTCTTTTGTAGTCAACAGAACCCATAAGATCAACTAGAATCTCTAATCCTCCTGCAGGTAAGATTAGTATGCCACAATGCTACTGGTGACACTTTTTCTTACCCTTGTTCCATACCTTCTTAACACCAAATAAGTATTTTATCAGCAGGGCGCTGATCCTACCTTACAAATTTGGCCAATGAATTCAGATGTTTGTGATAGTTTAAAGACTTGTAAGCATATAACACATGGGAGATGGTGGATTTACTTCCATGCCATCCAGGGTAAAAACCCATGAGCAGCAAATGTGTCTATAACTCTACATATAAAAAGGTGAAAGGAAGAATTATAATTAGAGGAGATGCACAAAAAGGAAGAAGTTGACTACAATGAAACCTTTTTCTAGGAGTCAAATTCACTAACATCAGGAGTCATAATTCTATAGGTGCCTACAGCTGCCAAAAAGAGATTGCTAAATATAAGCATGATGTACATAAACATTTCAGCATGGAGATTTAGATGAAGAAACTAATGAGTGTCCTGAGTAATGCTTTGGGTTACAATATGTAACTTATAATCTAGTTAGGAAAATTTGACATCATGAGGATAACATGAAAAGTAATAGCATGATATTTGAAAAACGTTAAAGGTATCAATAGTTAACTTACGGTGTGTTTGGATTGAAGGAAATGGAGGGAAAGGAAGGGAAGAGAAATGGAGAGATGGGGTATCTTTCATTTGGATAACAAATGAGGAAGGGAGGGAATTGGAGGGGAGAGAAATGGAGGGATTAAATTGCAGAAAATTGATCCCTTCAACAATGGAGAGATTTGGAAAGAAAACTCACCATTTTTCCCTCCCCTCCCTTTCCCTTCCCTCCTCTTCTCCTCCTCCCCTTCTTTTCCTCCCCCTTTCTTTATCCAAACACATTGTTAGTTCCATCTAATAAACCAAAGCATATAGAATTGGATTTCCATTATGTCCGAGGACAACTGTAGCATAGACTCATCAATATTTATCATGTAGTCATGTACCTACACTACAACTGCATATTTGACAGATATTTCACTAAGGTTCTTCCTAGACAGCACCATCACTAAATACTAAGCAATTTGAAGGTGTCTCCACTCAATTCTCCAACTGAGGGAGGGGGGCATAGAGCACATAAAAGTATAAACTTTACAAATGTTTGTGTAAGGCTGCATACTATTAACTTCCCTTATCTGTCCTAGATTAGAGTCTCACCAGCAGAGTTATGATCAAATTGGTATAACTAAGCACCACACACAAGATTCACACATAGCATAAATGCATGAGGTTCATACAGCATACTTTATCACAGACACTAAAATAGAAAGCCTGCTATTTTTCAAACAAAAGTGTAGAAATTCTGTAGTACTCACAAGGTATATTGCCCTGGACAAGGAATTTTTGAGCGTCCTGAATGCATCAATTATTCGAGAAGATTGCTCAGCAGCATACTCCTTTTCACTCTAATCACATATGACGGTAATTAGACAGCCTAAAAGTTTGGATGTGTTTCTAAACCTTCTAAATTCAAATACATACGAAGTATAAAACAAACCTCAGACTTTGAATGAACTAAATCAGGATGCAGTTTTTTCTGCCAGTCTTTATACAAGCCCTCCAAACTACTCTCCTCAATATCATATTTTCGCTCCCTGTATCATGTTAAACAAGCACAACTTAAAGGGCTATTGTCATTCTCATTAATTAACGCTAATTACTTTAAGTTTGAACCCCAAGGGGATGAACTCATAAAATCACATCATATACCATTGAAACACCTAAAATATTTAAGTAGGACAACAACAAAGTACACTTGAGCACAATATATATATATATATATATATATATATATATATATATATTGCAACGGACTCGTGGTTCACACACACACAAATGATAGGACAAAAGGTTGTTTGTATTAGTGCTTAAGCTAAAAGCTTGCAAACGTCAATGGCTTTAGGCCATTACTCTCCAAGTTCACTATTACAATCTGGATAGTTTTCTCCTACAAAACTCCTACTATTTATATTACTACTACTGTCTACAAATTTGGCAAAACAAAGCCTTAATTGCTAGTGGTACTTTTCTTGTCTTCTTTCCTTTTTTGCATAATAACAACAATCACCTAAAGCTGGCTGTCTCCCCTGCTCCCAACGGTTCTCTGCTTCCATTTTCTGCCTCCTCTTGTGTTGGCCCTTGCTTGGTGTTGTGACTGTTCTGCCCTTGCTGCCTTTTGCGCCTGTGATAGGTAAGCGTCACGGGTGGTGGGTATGGGTTCATTGCATGTATATATATATATATATATATATATAGGCTAAAACACGATCTCACAAGGACAAGTTATGGAACTATGATGTGATAATAAGTTAACAACTTCAACTATGAAAAAAAGTTATTCAATCCCTACAACTCGAGACACACGTCTATCCCTCTATCCTAAAGATTAATTATATACTCCATCACTCTATGTCTAAGGGTCTGTTCTCATTGACTGAACTGAGCTGAGTTGAACTGAACTTATTAGAGCTAAACTAACTGAATTGAATATTGTGTAAGAGAAGGAAATTGGGAGCTGAAATGAGCTGAACTTATTAGAGCTGAAGTGAACTTATTAGAGCTGAGCTCACTGAGCTGATTGAAAATAATCATATGAGAACAGGCCCTATGATTGTCCTAGTTTCCTTTTTGGCCCCATCCCTTTGGGTTTGCCCCATACTATACATCGTCCACAACTTCACTCTCTCATACTCTACTTTTGGTCATACCTCCCACCAATTTTTTCACTCATCAACTCCACTCAACCACTACTTTAAAAAGTAGCAAAACTCCAATACGGCAATCTTAGAGGGACGGAGGGAATACGTATGAGTTATAACAACTTTGTTGTACACATGATTAGGCATGTTATTATGCTAATAAAAAGTTATCAGCTACAACTAACAAAGACAATAGCTCATAATAATTACATCATCATTTTACGTAACAAAATCAAAGCAATTCAAAACTCACGGCACTAACATTGAATTAACATCACTTAAAATTTGCATAAATTAGAAGTTCTAGTAAACCATCATAGCAATTATGAGCTAAATTAATATTATAACAGCAATATCAATTAAACATTCAAAAAATTTATATGGCTTTTAACAATTATACCTCCATGAAATGAAAAAAAGAGAAAACTTACAATCCGAAAATCCGAAAATAATCAACAGAGCGATCAACAGGTTGAATACAACGGCAAGAATCACAAACAAGAAAGAGTTGCGAAGTTGTTGGAGACGAATTACAGTTCCAGCATCGTCGGATTTCAGAGCTTGATGATGATTCGGAGCAAAAAAGCTTGAATGATTGCTTGGAAAAATCATGGAGAAAATTTGCAGGAAAATTGAAATGGCGAGGAGAAAATGAAGAGGAGAGAGATAGAGTTTGGGAATGGAAGGTGGTAGAGGAGAGAGAAGAAGTGGGTCGAAGGTGTCGGTGGAAGAGATGCGATAATCGCCGCCATGAATGTCTGATTGTATTCATCGGAGTATTGTGTAGTTCCGGCAACCGAAGCTGAAGATAGTACGTGTTAGATTCGCGTTATTACGAAATACGAATGACTTGTTTGGTAGTCGGTTGTGAAGAGAGGTGTCAATTCAGAGGATCGAATCGGGTCTGATTAGAGTCGAGTCAATTTTTAAATTTGTATCTTATAATATCCATGGGAAATATTACGAGTATCATCGGATACTAATAGACCGGAAGTAATATTCCAATAAGACTTTTTTTTTCATGTTCCACTCGATTCACACTTTGGGCTTATTTAAATTCGGAATCAGTTTTGGATGGTTAGGTTTCAATCCCCTCTCAATATGATCTAATTTTAATTTTGGGAAACTCTTTTTGTTAACCTTTTAGTTAGCAGTCTTAGCACATTAATGCGATCATAATGCATACTCGCATGTAGAGGTGGCAATTCGGATCAGCAGGTCAGGTTCGGGTCAGAATTCGGGTCGATTTCGGGTTATTCTTAGAAACTATCAGAAATAGTGTAAAACTTAATATAATCACGAAATATGAAATTTGGATAAAATCGGGTCGAATTTAAGTTGTTCGAGTTTGGGTCGTATTATCGGGTCGGATCAAGGATTGCCAACCCTACTTGTGTATCATCTTAAGTAATTAGTCTTCTGAATGCACCCAAAAAAACATGGTTTGGTAAAAAAAAAGACCCCAAAAATGAAAAGTGAACAAGTACATAAAAGACTTGAGGATGTACAAATTTTGAAACCTCAATCTAAAAATTGATTTACAAAACAAAACCTTGAATATTCAATCAAAAACATACAATTGGGTGCCCAAAAAAAAAATCATTATTTACATTCTTACAAACTAATTTATTCAAGGATAAATAAGAAAAAGAGAAGAAATCATATGGAATTTTTTTTCCTAAGTCAGTTTTGAATTTATGATCATCAACTATATCATTTAAAAATGGCACTAGTGTACATTAGGTACAATATCGAACTATTTTCTCTGTTAAAGATGGTGAAAAGCCGAAACACTACCATTTGTATTGTCCTTTCTCTGGTTATAATTACTCATGAGACCAGCCTCGCGGAAGGAATGTGAAAACAACATAGCCTCCACTTTTTTTGCTGTCCAGTCTTCTTCTTGTCTTCATGAATGCCATTAGCTTCACGGTTCATGGAACTAACTGCGACTGGACTGTTTCCGGCAGAAGGCGCATGTATTGACCAATTGGCGATTGCAGGATTTTGATCAGGAGGTACCACTTGAGAATTTTCTTCCTGAGCTTGAAGATCTGATTTTTCAAACCTGCAAATAAACAAGGCAGAAAATTAAACTGCATATACAACTGGTAAGTTAGAAGCTTAAAAGGCGATGAAAATATTAGAGATAACCAGGATATATAGATAATAGATATAACATCCTCTTTGCTGAATATCAAGCTTATTTTCTCAAAACATTTGGTGTCCTAGTAAATGAGAAACTAGACAGGTAACACGTGTGTACCAGAGGTCCAGACACAACTAGACTAAGACGAGTTCATCCAGATGGATACAGTCTGCAGTGTTGTGAGACTTTAGAGGTTAACAGAAGGGGACAACCTTGCAATCATCCTTTAAACAGTAATAGGTTCACAAAACTTGGACAACCATGCAGCTATAATATATCCGCAAACACTAAACCCCCCTCAGCAGCCAAACTTCCAACAAACAAGAAGAAAAGAAATTAGAAACTTGGCATGAAAATATATTTGCAGTATTTTGCACGTCTTAATAGGGATCTTATCTCAACAGAAATTATCTTATATCCTTTTCGCCTAAGAAAATAATCTTACATGCCACTCTTGTATGCAACCAATCATTTTTGTCATGGTTGTTTATTGATATACCCGCTAAAAAGGAGATATTTATATGAGATAGGAGGAACAAGAAAATACCTCATATTATCAATGCCCAAGTCATTCCTGGATACATGTGCAGTAGCCTTGTCATTTTCTTCAACGGAAGTACCCTGCTTATCTACCCAGTTCATTTGTTTACCCAATGTTGAGGATAAAGCAGCACCCTCTTCTTCTATCTTAGGGCCAGATTGGCTGCCATTTAGACCTTTGCGTCTATTCTCTTTGACAACACTGATCAGTTTATCCAAAGTACCTAGGGCTCTCTCCACCTGGGGACTTATAGGCACATTATTATGAAAATCCACTGATTGAGGTTGATCAATTGAACCACGGCTTTCCTTTGCATCTTTGATATTATTCACAAATTCATTTTCGTTTCCTTCCACCCCTTCTTCCTCAATCTCACTGGCTAGTTTATCCTGCATCAAGTATCCACTAACATGGCCATTGCTTTCTTTGATCTCTTCTTCCTCGATCTCGTTACTAATTGGTTTGCTCCCCTCTAAAGGTTTGCTAATATTTTCATTGCTAAGAATCTTCTCATCTTCCTTTCTATATGCATTTTGCACATCTGTTTTCTGCTCCCCATCATTGATGCCTGTGTAGTCCGAAATGGTTTGTTTTTCCTTGAGGCTACTTTCTGATTTACTTTTTGAGTATACAGCTTGACGTATTCGACTGTATAGAGGGTCACTCAAAACCTTTGAAAAAGCTTCATCTCCATTAGATACTGAAGCAACTGTCTGCAATAACATCAGATATCAGCAATGCTGAAAGATTGTGTAACTGAAGCATCTAACCACCTAAGAATGCTGTGATATGTCTAGAATATCTTATAATACACAACCCCTTGTAAAACTGAACTTTTGCAACAGAGGTTGTTCTAAATGATAAAACAAAAGCTTCAAGATATTTTCATCCTTAAAATTTATTCATTCTTTCACTGCTTTTTGTAGTCTTTATACTGCTTTAACTAATAATAGCAATTTTGAGACATGAAAAGGAAGAAAAGTTCAGGCAAGAACCAGCTCCCTTACATAAAAAAAATTTCCACTGAACTCCCAACAAACTAAACAAACGGGACAAGAACATCCTGTCATCTCATTCCTACAGGCTAGTATCATCCGACTATGTCAAATAAGTTGACCTAAATCAGTCACTCTTCCAAGTTCAGGATTTCATTCTTGACATCAGCACAAACGGCTCAAATTTGATTTCAAACAGTGAGGTATCTAGTGATTACATATATTTGCCTGCTAATTGAAGGGCTTGCTCAGGAGAAGGAATAGGACAGACCATGAGATATAAGGCCTTTGACACAGAGGGGCACATTGGTAGATTTGATTGTCCAGTAGCTCTTATCAGGATTACTCCAGCACGGGTATAAAAAGAAATAAAATAGAATAACACCTAGCACACTGCACAACTAATGGTGTATCTCAAGTAATCACAAAGCTTTACAACTTGCACCAATGTGAAGGGAGTAGGATTGTTTACCTTCTTATAGAACCTGAAACCACTGCCTATCAGTTGTCTCGATATGAAATTTATAAGTGATGGAGGAACAAAATCCAATTTTATGTCCAGGTTGCCTATTGTCCTGCAAACAGAAAGAGAAAATCCAAGTAAACAGAAGTGATAACAATTAAATTACAGAGCATGTAATCAACCCATGACGTTATGATGATTCATTCAGTCACCAATCCAGTCAACTATTGTTGTAGAAAAGATCTGAATCCTTTTTTTTTTTGTTACCCTTTCGATTGCATGGAAATTCATGACGTTCACAATTCATATCTCCCAGTTTTATGAACTATTTGTTCTCAGAACTTCAAAAAACTTTTAAAATCAATTTTTATCTTGATCAACCTCTAAATTGCATGATCTCCTTTACTTTCTACCCAAGATATATATATATATATATATATATATATATATATATATATATATATATATATATATATATATTATTTGCTGACTAAGCATAATTGGTATGGACTAGGAGCTTTATCAGCTGGTAGCAAAATCTGGTCATGTCAGGGTGCCAGCACAAGTAAGACACTTGAACTAACCTGGTTGAGTCGAGGAAAGTCAAGATACCCCCTCTGTTGATAACGTCAGAGTGGGATGGGATGAGCCTGGTACTATTACGATTGTTATAGGTTAACATCTCATACTGACAATACCATCAGAGGGGGTTTCCTTAGCTCACCCCCGAGGATAATTCACATGTCTCACTTGTGCAAACACCCTGATAAGAGTATAAGACCACAGATGCTACCAGCTCCACATCAGTTCCCCAGTCCATACCCGGAACAATAGACAGATTTAGTAACAATCCTAGTACTACAAATTTACACAATCATATTTCCAATTCAATGTAGCATTAAATCACCTCATAGAAAGATCCGCCCCAATCAAAAAGGGAGAATCACCAGACCATGAGGACCTAGGCTTTACATTGAGTCAACTTCCTCTGATATAGGCTATATCAAGCTAATTATCAAAGAATAGTCTATGCATAAAATGTTAGGACAAGCAACAAGGGCAGAGTAACAAATTGCAGCTATAGATTTTGATGAGAATCTGAGGAATAAATAGGCACAAGTCCTACAAGCTCAACAGAAAATTAGTGTTCAGAGTAGATGAGGTGAGAAGTCTTGAATGCGAGAATCTGCTTTTATTCAGATTAAACGTCTTGAAAGAAAAAATAAAATAAAAATTGACTCTAGATGGCAAAATTGCAATAGATTAAAGACTTGACATTTTTACAGTTTTCAAACTCGCTGAAACTTGATTTTTAACATATAAGATGCCATCAAAACAAAAAAAATCTGATATCCAAATATTACCTGATAAAATCACTTTTCATAAAATTTTTCAAGAAAAAGAAGCATAGAATGTAGTTATCTGATCTAGCATAAAAGCAGCTAACAATGACAACACACCTAAAGTAACTCCTGTTTTCGGTCACCTTTTGCAAAGCAAAACCTCCCACTAAATCAATCCTTACTGTGTTATCCGCCTTGGGTATTCCCTCATTAGTGAAGCCATGAGTTTCGTTTTGAATGTTGTCCGCATTAGAAATCTATGCAGAACAAAATGAATTATACACTTTCAATGTTAGAGTAACAAATATAGTTGAGAAATATCATGTTTGGTGTACTCTAAGCAATTACCGTGTTTAGGAGCACAACGATAAGATCATTTTCGAAGTACTCAAACTCAAAATAGTGGAGAAGAGCCTCTCTACTGGACAATGGCCACGAAAGCTTCACCCTTTCTTCCAAAGAGCAAAAGAAAATTTAGAACCCATTTTAAAAAATCAGTGAGAAATTAGATGAAATCAGGAAAGCATATCAAGTATTTTATCACAAACCTCACTAAAGATATCTCTTCACCTATCCTGACCTTCTGCAATTTCTTGGCTTCTGCAACTTTGAAAGTTGGAATTAATGTTTCAGGGAACCTAGAAAGATAAGCAAAAAGAATAGTAAAGCATCAAATGATTCAGCATTTTTCATCCATGAGATGATTAAGAAATAATAGTTACCATCGTGGATAGAGGGTTGATTCCCAAGAAACACACAGACCTACAAGACGCACGACTTTCATTAATTAATCGACTTGTCTATCCAATCACTAAATGGCATACAGAAGTTAGATAAATTAAAGATAACTACAGTTGTTTGACTTACAAGCATCCAGAGGAGCATCTATATAACCTTCCACAAGTAGAGAATGGAACGGAGAACCTACAGGTCCCTCCCGATACATGACACGAAAATCTTCAGTATCCTGTTTCAACTGATAAAGAGATGCAACTACTTTAATTGCAATTGTTGAAACTCTTAAATCAAAGAGAAGCCTCTATAGATCAACTACACAGGACTTGGCAAAAGTTCACTTGGAACAGTTAAGTAAGCTGTTACTGTAAAACAGAAAGTCAGCTCACTATTTTCATTTTGGACATCAACAAATTCATATTGCTACCATGTTAGATAGGATTAATTAAGTGATATCAAATAGCTTTGACCCCCGAAAAGAAAAGGAGATGTCTACAAACAAAAAGGACAAGACTAGAGAAGAATGATCACAGAAAAGTAAACGGAAAAAGATATCTGATGAGAAAATTAAAACATGTGAGGCTAGCCAGTTATCTAAGCTCTGTTGGAGTTCAGAAGTGTTACAATTCAATAGGGTACATAATTCAATCATTCAGAAAGACCCCAATAGAAAATTGACTCTGGAAAAAAGTCAAAAAACCATTACGCAGCTTAAACTATAAATTTGGTAAAGCTTTAGTTATAATTTAGGAGAAATATGGAAAAGAGCAAACTTCTACACTAGATTTGTAGCGGACTATAATGAACTGGTTCGAAAAACTTAAATTTTTTAGTTCAACAAAGCTGAAGGCAGTCGGCACATGTCAGGTAAAAAATTTAGAGAAAATTACTCTTTGTACATGCTGGAAAACAGTTATGAACTTCAGCTCTGATACTCCCCCCCCCCCCCCCCCAACACACACACACACACCCTGCTTCACCTTAGCAGGAAGCTCATTAAAGGCACTGGAGTATTGGTTGTCATTATGATGGAGAAAGCAGCAAAGACCGAATGAGATTCGTTTTAAAATTCATTAGCTATAGACAGAGCGCTATATTATGGTTTCAATATTTAACATTAATAGTATCACATCTATTCACACATGATCATTGATAGCCAAGCAGATTAATTGCTTACTTTCCAAGTCGTATGATGTGTCTCATGGGATGAAGCATTATAATTTTCAGATGCACTCCTCAGCATCTCAAGAAAATTTGATACTTCCACGGTCCTTTTTTCGGTAATATAATCAATATTATCTGCAGGATGATAAGAGTGACAAAGAGAATACCTTAATGCAACATAAAATTGCCACTTAAAACCACTGGCTACTACATAATCAGGGCTTCCTTTAAATTATAGATACATATCCACTCAAAAGTTGACAAAAGCAATAAAACTAGCAAAAAAAGTTGAAGAATGCTAACCTATGGCTTTATTATCCGCCAATGATCGCAAAATTTGATCTTTTACAAGAGTCTTAAGTTTCTTCTCATCGATAAGATTATCAGATGCAAGCGTCTCATCCAATCTCTCTCGATAATGGGCAATATTTCCCTTTTTCACCATCTTTGCATCTCCAAAAGCCCGATACTGGCAGACTTCGAAGATTAAGTGACACTGTTAGTGTGAAATTTCTTTCAACGATCAAGCCTGTGAAATTTTCGAAGAGACAGATGAAATGAGTTTCCTTTACAATAGTCAATAAATTCTTATCACCATGCTTCTAAATGTAATTCCAGCTCCAACTATCTTTGCCACTTGGAGCTAACAGAAATAAGTACATTTTTCCCTTTTTCTATCCAGGTCTGTTTCAAATTAACATAAAATACATCATTCTAGCGCCGCATTATCATTAGATTATTGTCATGCCAATCACATTTACAAGTACAATTCATTGCACAAGAATGACAGGAGTGTTAAGTGCCCTTTCACATAATTAATTTTTAACTATCCCCATCACAATAGCAGCACTGCTAGCTTAGTCCTAGGACAAGTCAAATTCTTAAGAACAGACTACATCACCCAAAAAAAAAAAAAAAAAAACAATGAGAAACAAAATGAATCCAAATAACAAAATTACAAACTTAGTAGGTTTACTAGGCTCTACAAAACACCCAATAAAGCCGATGTCACCCACCCTACACCTTTAATCAAATCCCGTCTACATTATTGCCCCGTGATCCTTTACACAAACACAAATAAATACAATCCCCTAAACTCCATATGCTTCTATACATAAGGAAGTTAATAAAAATTCCAAATATAACACAGAAAATAAACAGCATAAAATCAAGTAAAAACAAAAATGGACCTTCAAGAGGAAGAAAAAGCAGGAAACCCCAGATAAGAAAACCTGCAAAAATGGTGAAATCAAAGAAAAATTGACCAAATATAAGGAAAAAAAACCGAGTTGGGTATTGAAAAAATCAATAGAAAATTAAACAACACGTGGGATTGAACAGTGAAAAGGACATTGATAAGAAGAAGCTTGCAGATCTCGAAGAAGATGATGATGATGAACAAAAGAAGAAAAAAAGGGAGAGTAATAAATGATACCATCAAGACGGAAAACACAACGTGGGGCTGCTTCTCGTGCTTAACGAGTCAGTGACAGCTAAATAGAGCAGTAGCAGACTAGCAGTAGAAGAAGTAGAAGTAGTAGCTCATGAATTCTATGAATTTTTCTATTCATTCTGCAGCCACCTAAATTCAACTTTTTTTACCAGATTTCAACTTTCTTACCCTTCTCCCTTTTTTGGGAAATACGACTACATTTCAATAAATTAATTTCTCTTTTAGTCAAAACTCATGTAATTAGCACCCGGGTTGTTAAACATGGACTCGATTAGAAATAAAATTGACATAATTTAAAGTGACTTAATTTAGTATTCATACGAAGGTTACAAGCATAATTACTTTTACAAAGTACTTTTTTTTTTACACATATAAGCGATCGATAACATGACTTGACATTTCATTTGAATGGATGTTCTCATTGCGCTCTTTTACAAATTGATTTACGCAAACTTTTAGGAAAATTTGTCATGAACTACACGTTTAATAGGAGTATTTGGAAACAATTACCCACTAAAAAATTTTATCAAAAAAATTACCCCTTAAATTTAAAAAGTTAGAGTAGCACTACCCATTTGCATTTTCCAGCGAGAATGTCCGGCGCATGTGCCCAATTTTTCAATTTCTCTTTGAAAAGACACGATGCAATGACAAATTGGACCTTAATTCGCAACCCTAAGATAACCAATTTGAATTAAAAGCAACAAATTCAACCAATTTCAAATTATCCCCAATTCTCTAAGAACTTGAATTTTCCTAATCGTTACACCCTAACATCAAAATTCATAACTAATAGATTAAAATAAAAGAATTACCTATGAATTGCATTCCCTACTTGTTTTCACGTCTTCAATTATGAATTTTCAGAAGAAAAATTGAAAAAATGGGCCCCACACGCCGGACTTTCTCGCTGGAAAATACAAATGGGTAGTGCTACTCTAAGTTTTTAAATTTAGGGGTAGTTTTTTTGATAAAATTTTTCAGTGGTAGTTGTTTCCAAATACCCCTATTAAGCATGTAGTTCCTGGCGATTTTTCCAAACTTTTATATGGGAACAAAATTTGTTTATTTAATGGCATTTTCGTAAATACATCAACAAATCATCCCAGTCAGCATAACATTTTTGAAAATAAGTGAACAACTTTTATTAATATGCGGCCATGCGGGTCCCATACATGTTGACTTATTTAGGAAAATGATATGCTGATTGGGATTTTTTATTGATTTTTATGAAAATGGCATTAGATAAGAAAAATTTGTTTATCACTAAGATAAACTTGTATTTTCTCAAAAAAAAAAAAAAAGAAAAAAAAAATTGTGTTCTTACCCTATCTTTAAATTATCTCCAGTTTTCCACCCTTTTCTTCAAAAAAAAAAAATATTATATCTCTACTCTTACATCTATTGCTTTTAAATTTTTTTTTTTAAAAAAAAAATTTACTCCAATTTATATTTTCTAATGTAGATGCAAAGAGATAATTAATTACATCTAACAAGTGGCCTAGCTAGAAGCTAACACGTGGCAATCGCCTCAAACCAAATGGCCAATCGAAGCCTAACATGTGACATTAAGTGATTACATCGACAATAAAGCACATGAAAGGGAGTTAACCTTGTAAATCAGCGGCAGCACTAACATGTATCCCACACGTACTGGGCAACCAATTAGAGCACGTCTTTTTACGTTACAAAACTTAGAGCATGCCATCAAAAAGGGTATGAACAACCCCGACCCATCATTTTTTTAAGGAAATAAATAACCTCATCATTTATTGATGGGATAGGGTGACACATAGTGCTTATACCAAGGTTACACCTAAAAAACACTTTAACTTTTTTCTTAACTTTCTCACTCTGCATTTACTTATTCTAGTAGCCGAATTGATTGTCGAAGGAGGATATCTCGATCATCGAGAACTTTGTTTTGTAGGTGACCTACTGAGTACTCACAACCATGCAATTTTAGTCTCCCATGGGAAATTAAAAAACCCTACAACATTTGGCGGCGTCTTGTCATGACAATTAGTGGTCACAACTCACTCGAACAGAAGATTGTTCAAGATAAAATTAATATAACTAGCACGTTGGCTTGTCAGAGACCCTTGTCTGGTCCGAATGACAAGATTTCCTCTTTTAGTTGGTCAACTAGGTTATTGCCATGCGATACATGCACGAATTTAACCAAAAAATATTGCGTAAAGTTATGGCATTACTAAAATTAAAATAGTTTTTAAATAAATACACAACTTAATTACTACAATAAGAATATTTAATACCTTTGAAGCAATGATAGCTTACCAAAAATAAAGATGTGTTAATTTTAAATAAAAACAAAAATAAAATAATAGCGTAAGTCTTTAAAATAAAAAATTAAAAAATTAAAAAAATGAAGAGAATAATGAAAAATTATACTTTGTATGTCTAATATTATTTTGTAAGAAATTGAGTTAAGATATTTCTACTATAAATTGAAGGGAAAAGTTTAACTGGAATATAAATTAACTTTACTGAGAAAATAATATTTTTATTTATACTGAGAAACTTTACTTGCTATTATAAGTATACTAGGTTAGGTCCTGTGCCACATGCACGGTAATTTTCAATAACTAAATTTTAAATTAACAATATATTTTTTAAAAAATTTACTTTTATTTGTTATATTCATATCAATTGTATGCTAAAGAACAACAAAATTGGCAAGAAAAAATCACACTAAGAATAATCAACATATGTTTTTCTTGACAAGTATTATTAAAGTATCCATAATTAATTATAGAGTATTAATTCATTTAAATTCTAAAATCATAAATTATTTCATTGTTTATGCGGTGAAATAAAAATAAATATCATTTGTTGATTTCATTGTTATTCGTGGTACATGTTTTAGTATTATGTAATTAATGAATGATTGAGGATTGTCCTCTCGAATTTTCAGCAATCCATATCAGGTTGAGGATATGAATCAGCTCACTTACATTTTGGCCTAAGCCCACTAAGAAGAAAGAGAAAGTTGGTCAGAATGGAAACAAAAGAATCTAAGACATTCATAGAATGAAACAAAAACTAGTAGTGCACCCAGTATCGGCAACCCAATTAGCCTACCAAAGCATTTATGGACACTAGGATTGCCTTTGCATTGGGAGAAATGGGTCGCCCACCATGACCATGGCAGCTTAAGATTCCACCTTCTTCCTTTCACAAGCCACCATTGTTGTTGAGGTGGAGATGTCGCAACGAAGTAGATGTTTTCTCTAAGGGGTAAGTATGACTCTGCTTTATATTCTTTGCTACTAGTATGTCTTTTTATTTTGCCTCAAAGAAACATTGATGCTTTTGTTGTTGAGAGAGGAAGAAAAAGAAGAAGAAGACGACGACGACGACGAGAAAAAGGGAACAACAAGGAGACGAAGAGATCAGCATGAAGAAGGAGAGATGGTGGTGGAGTGGTGGTTGTGATGGGCTTCGGGATAGGGCCGTCCTAAACATTTAGGGGGCCCTGTGCTATTTATACAACTATGTGTAAATTTCGTTACCTTTTTTTTTTCACACAACAGTTAAATACAATAAATCGGGTTTTTTATTAAGTCAAAGATAATACTAAGAATTTTGGTGTGAAGTGCTCCTCCTTTATACGAATATTAGGTAAGAGGTAAGACGCTTTTACTTTCATTACGGAGTACAATTTAAAAGAAAAGGTAGTTCACTTATACAAATACAATGACATAAACTATATGCAATATGCAATATATTAATGTACTCCATACTAGATAGAGATAAATTATTAAATTTAGGAAAAATCCGCCAAAATAAAAAAATAAGCATAACAAATACATACATATATACAGAGTACAATTGTACAACTCATTCCCAAAATATAGTCGAAGAATGAAAAAATGAAGAAGACGGGTTTGATCTCTGCGTCTCTAGGATCTCTTAATGAGCTTATACCAACTATGCCAGGTTCAACAACAAGTCTTTATTGACGTTGAATTGTAATTATGCTAAATTCACTTTGTCAGATTTTTGGGGCCCCAAGAATTGTGAGGCACTGTGCTATTGGGCTGTTTGCACAGCCTAATAGCAGGCCCTGCTTCAGGAGGTGGTGGCGGCAGCGTGATGATGATATGTAGATCTGTTTGTTTTAAGTTTTCAAAAAGAAAAAGAAAAAAAGGTTGTAAGAAAATCAGATTATCTAACACAAAGGTATTCCCTCCATTTTTGTAAGTGTCCCATTGAGACTTTTTGCACTATTCACTTGACGTACTTTGACCAATGTTTGTGAATTATAAATTTATAAGGATAAAATGTAGTCTTGTGGGTACTTATTGATATTGTCTTAATGAAGAGATTATTAATATTATGTTGTAATTTATACTTATTGACAATTTACGATATTATTAGTCAAAATTTTACATCAATGTGTGTGCCAAGCTCCAATGTGGCAATAATTACAAAAACAAAGTGAGTCATAATCAAACTGATGAACTAGGGCACTCGTCATATAGTAACAAAAGTTTAAGAAAAATGTGTTACTAAAAAAAGAGACAGCCCCCATTGATCTTAATAATATACATTTTTGTTTATCTAATGAAAATTTTGTAAATAAAGGAATAGTGCACCATACATATCGAATTGATATTACTCATGCTTGCTTATGTTGCTGAGATGGACATTCCACATACATAAGCTTTCTCCACCATAGAACCTTTCTCCACTATTAAAGCTTCCACCTTCCTTTCCTGATCTCCACCCACCTGGCTTCCACTGATGCTTACATCAACTACCTCATCATCTTCTGCGGCTTCAACACCAAATTAAACGTAAACCTTATGAAAAGAGGGTAAAATTTGGGTCATGATGTAAACACCCAAATGTGTCTCCCAAAAACCAAACCCAATTATGAATACCTTTCATGTCATTTGATTATCGAACAAAGCGAAAGTGTGAAAAGTCTAGTGATGAGGATGTTTTTATTAAAATATCACTTCTTTCTGTTTTTTAAAATATTTCTTTTCTTCCCTTATTTTTGAAAAACGTGCATTCCAATTTAGTTTGGTCTATGATAAGGGTCCAACAATAGTTTAGTTGGATGGGGCTTGAAAAGACCTTTCCAACAATATATTATAAGCCCAATTCCGATGAATAATAAGGAACTTATGGCCAAAATACTAAACTGGGCTCGAACCGGATCTTACCTACGGCACAATGATCA